CGTAGATTTGTAATAAGTACTCTTGTTGTATATTAGCTCTCGTTTCGATGCAATAACAACAATGACATATTGTATTTAAACCTGGAGTACGAACTAGATTTTATCGTAAAGTAATGAACTCAAAAAAGTTTCAAGATATAATAAAGATGTAACACAATCCATGTTGCATAAGATATGTTTCTGTGTATATCTAGCTCTCTTTAATGTCATGAGTTTATGTGCTTTGTATCATCTTCTCTTCTCAGTTTACATGTCTAACTTGAGTAACTCCTTTTAGGTACATACAGTAGACTAATATCATTACATGTGTTCACTGCATGGTGAGTTATTATGTTAATCTAAAGTGTTCAAAAACATTTCAAGGAAACTGGAGTGGGCGTGCCACTGTTTACAGTTTCACTTCTCTAAAATGTATAAGTGTGAAACAGAAATATGAATCAAACAGAGAGGCTCATAATACTGGATATGCTAACTGTAAGGAATCTACCCTTTTGCTAGACTTCTTAATTGAAGCATTAAAAGTGATTTCTGTACAGAATTCATTCATCGTACAAACCTGCTTATATTCTCCAATGATGGAGCCGTTCTTCTTTATCTCCGATTCAGACTTATCGAGCTCTCGCCTGCACATCTCCTTCAGCTGTGGAAACAAACAAACAGGATCCTGTTAGGCGGTCGGAGGGCAGACAACAAGGACAGAGGCCGAGTCACGACCGTGTCAGTGCCGTGACATGTGAGGAAGACAGAGAAAGGTATAGGCAGACGTGCAGCTCGGGGCAAAGTCACAACCTCAACACACACCACTCTGTGAAAGCAATAAATCATTCACGGCTACACCTACACACAAGACGACACACACATTCAGAGGACTACATTGAACACACAGGTTCGTCCTTCACCTCGGAGAGATTGAATTCAAGAAAATCAACAACAAACATCCTTTGATATTGAAGGTTTGGTATGGATAGTAGGGAAAAAAGCCTGAAAGGGTTTAGAATATGGTTCTTTTCAGCCAGGGTATAACAGATAGAAAACACAGGCAGAGAGGAAATAGCAACAAAAAAGTCTGTCATATCAGCCATTCCAGTATTTGAATAAATAAATAATAATAACGTGCAGACTCTTGGCTCTGTCCATAACAAATAGGCTGCTCAGTCATATCCTGTCACATCCATATTGCATATTTCCTGCTCGTCTCTCTCGACCCCAGGACAGGAGAGTCAGGCCGTTTTCACAATAACTCTGTTCATCCATTCACATGAGAATTTGTGTTGCAATATTGCTGACGCTTTCCTAGCATTCATAACCCTTTGTGCTCCCTTGAGATTCACAGAAAAATATATATTCAGCTAACGTCTAACGGGTAGCGACAGAAAGACAAATGTGCGGTTGTTGGCTCTAACCTGGGCAGATTCCTCCTCCAGTCGCCTCTTCTCGTCCTCAGAGTCCACCAGTTTCTGTTTGGTCAGCAGCAACTCTTTATTCAGTGCGTCTGCCTTCTCCTCAGCCTGACACACACACACACAACAAAAACACCTAATGTTAAGAGGTCATTATAAGATACACTTGCGATAAGTTCTTCTTAAGTTGGTACATGTGTGTTTTTTCCACAATTGTTGCCACATTTAACACATACTTGCTTCTTTGAAGGGACGACTCACACTTAAATGAACATGCGCACGCGCACACACACACACACACACACACACACACACACACACACACACACACACACACACACACACTTTGTCTTCAGCTTACGTTGTCGAGGTCTTTCCGCAGGGCTATCTTGCTGCTGACTAGTTCGTGCGCCAAGTCGTCATTCTCCTGCTCCAGTCGCATGTTAGCTTCTTGCAGACGGCGGTTCTCCCGCTGGACGGAGAGAGAGATTTAAAAACAGGAAGAGGGGAGGAGGAAGAGAGAGATGTGTGTGAGGAGAACAAGTGGGACACGAAAACAGAAGAGCATATGAACGGAAATAAGGAAGGGAACGTGAAAGAGGAAGGAGAGTGGAGAGACGGGGAACAATAGTTACTCATGAGAATTTGCAAATGAATGTTTAAGCAGCTCCTGTCTGAATGCAGCAAAATAAAGACTGTGGATGTAAGTGATCAGGTGAGAGCAGGATTACCCAGCACGAGTTGTATGTAATGTTTAACAGAGCATAACCTGCTTGTACATCATTAACAGCGACAGGGAGATGGAATAAAAACATCTTTTACAAGAGATGACAAGCATAAGATTTAACAGGATAAAGTCCACTTTAAACAACAATCTGGAGTGTTCATACCTTCAATCAAATGAACACTAAGACTCAAATAATGATCTCATCTTACCAGATGTTGCAAATGTGAAAGACGCCACACATCATAAAATGATTAATGATGATAAATGACACAAATGTAAACAAACAGGGAGAATACGGAGCAGATTAGCGATCCTGAAATATGCTCAGAGGAAAATGACTATATGTCTGAACCAACCTGACTTTATCAAGCTGTGGCTTAATGGGGGATTGTATCTTCATAAAAGGGCAATCATTTAAACATCTTGAGATATCTTGTTTGTCATTCTAGAAAAAATGGTCTTGGTGAATGGTTCGCTGCCAGCATTATCATGAGCAAACAAAGCACAAGTGCAGTCACTGTAATTGATGATCTTGTCCTGTGTACAACCAGCCCTATACCCTTGAGATGACTTATGGCATGTACGACAAATGGCTTTCTGGGAGCCATGTAGTTTGTCTTTACCGAACAAGGAATGTCAAGGTCTGCAGTGAAATAATGATTTATTCTGTTTAGTGGAAAATCTGTCAGAATATAGTTTTAGTTATAACACTATGTGGTAGCAACATATAGTATAGTATTGTTCCAGAGGTGTGAGATCGAATGTAATACTTGAGATACTCAAATATAATTATAAATTCAGAAAACTACGTTATTGCAATAAGGAGTAAGGATAAAAGTGTATAAGGGTTAGAATTGCATGTTTTGTCAAAAAGCGGATACAGCTTTAAATCAAATTTGTGTTCATTTCATAGAGAATTGTAATTATTTTTAAGTTTTCAGTGAGCAAAGATGAATATGTTCTGCTCATGTGTACCTCGTATCTCTCAATGGGGGCCTCCTGCTGCTCCTGCTGCTCCCTCAAGGTGTGGTACTCCTTCTCAAACTTCTTCAGCTTTTTCTGGCTGATCTGTTTGGCAGTGGAAGCAGAAAAATAAACGTTTTAAACTCATCAAATATGTCACACGCAAATGAAGAATAACACTTATTAACACATGATGACAAATATGAATATAAATGAGCCCAATAGTCTTTGGCTCGTGGACCAAAGGCAGCTGCCAGGGAAGAGTCTTTCTCATCTTGTGTAAACAAGATTGATAATCTCTGTTGGACTGTGATGGTCTTTAGTTCAGCTCAGCATTTGAATAGGATGCAATGGAATAAATTAAGAGATTACAGGCCCAATTCGACACCGTAATTCTTTTCTGAGAAGCTGGTACATTAGGATATCACTGTCAACACAATCCAGAGTAACTCATGCCACCAAACTGATTTGTTCGGTTCCCAAAAGGGTTTTTAATAGTTCAACTTCTAGAGCACACATTTTAAAATGATGCTGTAACACCAAACACGGGCTGGATGTTCCTTGAAGACAGCATATATGTGTTTCACGTCTGATTAGGATAACATTTGACTTTCTAATCATAAATTACATTCTATAATCAATCACACTTGTCTCTTCACCTAAACATCTCTTGTTAACTATACAGCAGCTGCAAAAAGAGCAGAATCAAAGGAACTGTAAACAAGCTTCTCCACGCAGGTAAAACTCAATTGCATCAGCTCACACTATTATCACGTTGTTGATGAACAGATGTCAGGTGTTATGAAACCTCTCTGTTCTCCCAAAACAGATTCTCATTTAAATACACACACTTACAATCACAGTCATGCCTACAGATGCAAACACAGGCCATCTCAAACAGGCCTTTGACTGCCGAGCTGCTGCCTTACATTGGGCTTTCTGAAAGAGATAGCTACCATACAATAAACACGGTGTGCCTGATTTTTAACATGAAAAAGACATCTGTTTAGATTTTCTTTGGATTTTAATCTAATCTGATAACATCTGCAACATTGATGCACCATTACTGTTTTCATGCATGCCTGAATATGTTACAAACGTAGGTTATCTATACAGTGGTTCTCAACTGGTGGGTCGCGGATGGGTGAGTGAAGAAAGAAAAAAAATAACGCTGTGCATGCAGTAGGCGTTGGACTGGAATTACCGGAGACCATAAACGGTTTTGAAAACTTCTGTGACGTAGTGATCATCTTCTCAATAAAACATCTTTGCTGATGTTTTTTTGAGTCTTCTGGCCAATCAGAATCAAGATTGTTGCCGGAAGTCCCCGCGGAGAATAACTTTGCGGTAGAACTATTCTTTATACATCCATGGGTATAACTTCGGATAAAAATGAACACATAATGAAATGCGACCCCCGGTTTGATGATTGACAGGTCACAGAACTATGGGGGTTATCTACCCTTACCCACAATTTAAAGTAAGTCACACAGACTCTCTCCTCTTTACTCTTCTCGCAGCAAGATGTCAGAACAAAGTGAAAAACAAACAATGNGGGTCCAGTCACTTGTGCATCTAAGGGTTTGGCCTTTTATCATACATACTTTAAAATGTCCCCAAATCTTTACATTTCTAACATGTGGTCGACCAAACTCTACCTCAGACCTTGAGAATGATTTGTCTGTACCTCATCATCAATAACAAGCTACTACTGCTGTCTCACCTTGGTTTGTATGCACTTGCATCTTTAATTAGAGGAGCGCCACTGTTCTGTGCGAGTTTGGTCGACCACATGTTAGAAATGTAAAGATTTGGGGACATTTTAAAGTATGTATGATAAAAGGCCAAACCCTTAGATGCACAAGTGACTGGACCCTACACTCTTCCATAAGTGGGTCAAAAAGGACCCGTATTAGAATATTATGTGTTTTTATGCCATTTTGGTTAAGAAAAATCACTTATATAATATTTAGTATTATATTTTGGTTAGAAATATTTTATATTTAATTTTTCACCATTTATAATTTTAGAAAAAAAAAAATTACATTTTGAAAAAAAACGTTTTCCCATAGAAAATGTATGCGGGTCATTTTTTGACCCACTTATTGAAGCTTGGGGTAGTAATACAAAAACTACAATTTCTTAAAATGTAAATAAAAAATTTGAATCGCATGATATCCAAAACATGTTTTTTGAGGAATAGCTGGAATATGAAATGATAAAAAAAAATGTAATTATAAATATACTTAAAGAAAACCACGACACCGGGTCAAAAAAGACCCACTTATGGAAGCTTGGGATAGTACTACAAAAACTACAATTTCTTAAAACGTATCAAATGTACATTTTAAATTAGAATGGCATGATATCCAAAACATGTTTTTTGAGGAATAGCTGGAATATGAAATCATAACATTTTTTAATTACAAAGATACTTCAAGAAAACCACCTCACCCGGTCACAAAAGACCCACTTATGCATCTAAGGGTTAATAGTAATTTGGAGAGTCTTGAAAAAGTATATAATAATATAGTTCAATATTTATTCTGATATTTCATGTGCTGATTCTTTCTTATTTTAAGTAGGCCATGGATTTTTTTATCATAAAAATAAAACTCATACTCACATCTCAAGGGGCACCAAGTGAGTGGCACCATAAGATTATTTGTATTATACATTTACATTACTTTGGATTTAAGTTTATTTGAAAGTTCATTATTAGGTCGTTTTGTCTGTTTCGGTTCATGTTAAGTGCCTCATCCTGAACTCTGGTTGTTCGAGCAGCCTTTGAGCACCTCTTCTCGACGTATCGACCCTTATTTGGCTTTTCTTCTCAGATCTCAGCTCTGATCAAGCCATTACCATTGCTATAAATATTTAAAAACAATACAAGAGCAATCCATATTCTGTCATGTATCTACTTTGTGAAGGAGAAACCTCTAAATTAACAAAATATCCCTGAGCTGAACCCAGAGTCTCTGATGACTTAGCCTGCCCGCATATTTTGAGTTCCTGTCTCTCCGAGTTCCTATTACGATGATTTCATCCTTTCAGATCTCATCCTGTCACCGAATGCTTAAATATAAAACCACTCAGATCAAAAACCATCAGCGCAGACATTATGCAACAATCCTTTGGAGGAAGACAGAAATAGCCTGAGGACTAATTTAGAAACAGACCTTAACTTCACCTGAGTCTAAAAATAGTGGCAGCATGTTGGACTCGACAGCAGATCTGAACACTTTAATAATTGTGTTTGTGTGTGTATTATAGGTCAAAGCTCCTTTCAGACTGCTAGCATGCAACTGAGCAGCACCAATGTGAAAATGGCGCTTTGTCAAAAACAGTTATTTTTGTGACAGGGAATATAGGAGTGATAGATGGAGAGGGGGAGAACATGAACAACAGTCTGTGGAGGAGAGAGCAGAGGAGGACAGCAGCATTCAATCATCTGGGATTGACAAGTTGAGGAATGTCCCAAAATAGCCGACATTGTTTTCCAACCCACATAACTCAAATTATTCTTCAAATAGAGTCTTTCCTATTTCACTGGCTGCGAATGGCAGCTTTCTTTTCGCGGGATCCCATCCAAAAAGCTTTGTGTGCTAATTGCCCCTCCAGCCCACCAGGACAGAAAAACGTCTGTTGATGGTGGAGCTAAAAACGGTGTCGAGTGGCGTATTGTAATCCCTGCTGAAGAGCTGGAGAGGAGATGCTCTCAGGGACAGGGACACGAGCCAAAACTGGTGTCTCTGAGGCCTTGTTAGCGATATATTCATATGATTTCATACAGTTTAATAGGATTATGACCATGGACCATATTCTGATTATGTTTTATTGAGAATTGCAAACTAATTGTCCGCCTCTTGTTCCAAGCCTAATTCATGTAGTGTTATAAAGCAATTCAAATAGCATAGAGCTAATTATAGGAATGCATGCATTATTGACTGAAAATACACCAGCTGGTAATTATACACCTGGAGCAGAGTGGAAATACTTCATGTAAATAAGAGTGAAATTGTTTGTGGAAAAAACATTAAATCAGCCCAGGGGTACTGAGCCCGCTTTATATGAAGAAAACAACAACTGTCCATCCTACATTTAAATAAGCAAATTATGAATTGACAGCTTGCTTGTGTTCAGCAGTGAGGACTGACATGTATCTGATCTTACATTCATAGACCTGAAATATTAGCCCTTCTACAAACTAGAAAAATATCTAAAGACAGGAAAATGCCTATCTTCCCATGTAGGAAACTGATTGAAGACAGAATGCACGTCAAGTAAAATCTTCAAAATAAAAAGATGTGCCGCCTGCCTTGGAGTAGCACTAGTTAAAAGAAAGGAAGCGGGCAGAGAAAGAGCTGCGAGATCAAGAGGTGATCAGCAGCGATGAAGGGAAGGGAGAGAAATGGGCTCCGTAATGCTAGTTGAGGGCAAATGAAGCAGACAGCAGGAAAAGATAAAAAAAGACATGTAGGAGGAGGGAGATGGATATCTGCTGGGCTGAAGACACACACAGAGATGTATAGACTGATCCTAAAGGCGGAGGATGAAGAAGAGAGGTATACAGTATGTTCCACAGGGAAGCAGAGAGATATGCAGAAAGCAGGAGCAGATAGAGAGATAGATCGTCTTGTCGACGAGAGGTGGGATGACCCCATGTTCCCGTTAGGATGACTCATGTCACATCGATCTTCCTCTTTGTCGGCAAGCTAGAGAGCTAGTGTGTAGGTGTGTGTGTTTGTAGCTGTGGGTTATAGGTATTGGAGGAGGAGAGAAAGAGAAAGGGTTTAACTAAGGATGCACTTACGACCTTACGACACACTAATGGAATTAAGAGTAAGAGGATGAAGTCTCTGCCTTACAGACTAAGATACACAAACGAGAGTAACAAGGTTGTGCACGGCACGGTCAAGAGAGGTCAGATATCACGGGAACAATACACTTCACCGTTTGAAGTGGTTCGCATTCAGTTCCTTTTCTTATTATATTCTAGCTTCAGATAATATATTTATGATTTATTTTAATATATTTAAGTAATAGAAATGTATGATTATGACATTTTCTTTTATCCTCGAACCTTAGAAGAACTATAGTTCTAATCCATAGCTATTCATGTCATTCTTTGGTTATATATGTAGTGATTAGATAAAGACTCTGAAAGTGTGAACAATCTTCTGTATTTTTATGATGTTTTTGTGTTTATTTAACACAGCACAAGATACAAATGCCTTACGGGCCCGTCCACACTACAGCTTCAAAAAAAAGCTTGCCGGCGGGCGTGTCTGAAGCTCGACCAACAACCAATCACATGAATCTCCCGCCCCTGACACACAAGCAGCGGTTTGATTGGCTAGAGCTTGTACTGGCATATGATTTGATTGGCTGACGCTTCCACCGAAAGCTTCAGAAGCTTCAAAAGTTGAACATTGCTCAACTTTTGCAGCCTGAAACGCCAGGAAAGCTCCGCTCTGCTACCCACAATTCAGTTCGGCGAAAAGCGAGGCAACGTGACGTCACCCCATTCAAAGTGAATGGGCAGACGCGTTGGAAACCGTTTTTGAAGCTGTAGTGTGGACGGGCCGTTACAGTGCTGTTTCACTGATCGAGTGTCATGTTGAACGGCTCAGTAGAAATTCAAAGGGCTTCAGCTGAAATGTTGATCATGTTGATGGCAGGCTGAACAATGTGTCTGTTTCATATAGATCTGCTCCCAGCTGAGTGAACGACTGGAGAAACAACAGACGGCCAACCGAGGGGAGCTGGAGAAAATCAGGGTGAATTTTACACACACACACACACACACACACACACACACACACACACACACACACACACACACACACACACACACACACACACAC